ACCATCTTTGTTATTAAGTATCCCACATTGTGATGACAGAAAAAAAAATGCCAAGAATAGTGAAATGTTATAAGAAAATGGATGTAAATTTACTGTAGGTGAACTCACGATTAAATCACTTTTTAGTCATTTTCGTCTTAGTGAATTATTTTCTCTTTTAATTAGCATAGCATTTTTTTTTTCACCATAATGAAACTGACCGCAATTCTGGCATAAAAAATTGTACTCTAATTAAAAAAAAAACAGTTCTCCCAAAATATTTCTGGCAATTAAAAAATGACAGCATCTCACCATCAATCAACTGGGATATTATAACAAGAGGTAAATCTTACAACAGTAAAGAAAATAAATGTAACATATCTTGAATTGATGGTTACATAGAGGCATAAAAATAAATATTTACTTAAATATGTTGCTACAGATAAATTTTTAATATAAATTAGTTTATTTTTTAGGTATATTATAGTTTGTTTATATATATATATATATATATACATACACGCACACATATATGAATAGAGGAGGAACAAGTAATCTCCCTTTAACAATGAAAAAATTTATATTCACAACTCTAAAAAATTCTTTCATTTTTTTTTTTTTTTTTTTTTTTTTGACATGTATATACAAACCTGTTTATTTTAAATGACAAGTATATTTTAAATTATAAAACTGTAATCCCAGTATAATATATATCTACACCAACATTACGATAACCAATATATTTTTTTAAATTACGTGATGGCCAGCACCTGAAGACTGCGTTGTGCATAAAACTTTGAGTCATGCTATCAGTGAGGGATAATATATATATATATTAATATATACTTAGCTCTGTTGTATCACATCAAGCTGTGTTTTATTAACACCAGCACCATATGTGCAATATATATATATATATATATATATATATATATATATATTATAAAACCTATCTGCCAATTAAGGTTCAAGTCTTGGCCCTGCTAGCTTATGTTGACAGTATAAATTTAAAGTTGCAGGTTAGAAGTTAACCTGATTGAAAAATATACACATACACACACATCTATATAGTAATGAGGTTCTCCCTCAGAAATCTCTCACCAGCATTGAGGCTACCATCCTTCAACATCAGCTCTGCTGGTCACATGTCTAGAATGAATCCCACTCAAATCCCACGTATTATCCTGTTTAGAGAATTGCCAACAGCAAGAAGCTATGCAGAGGTCCAAAATGACACTTCAAGGATCAGTTGAATATACCCCTGACAAAGGCCAATATTGAAACTGAGACATGGGAAACAGTTGCTGCAAATAGACCTTCCTGGCATACCACCATCTGATGGGGGACCAAGACTTTTGAGTACAATGGTCAACATAAAGAGGATCAGCAACAAGCTGTCAGGAGGACCTGACTCACCCAGCCACATCCACACTCCTCTGTGACTCCTGCTTACAACTCTTAAGGAGTAGGCTGGCCTTGTACAGCCAACTCTGCCACAGTCACTAAAGGGGAGGAAGGGAATAAGGAGAGAAGATCACGATAATATCTTGAAGTGTGTATGAAATATTTAATGAGTTTAAATAAAAAAACAAAGGCCTTTTTTTGTGTGATCTTGTTCCTCTTAACTGTTACCTGTTAAAGTATAAAATAGTTCCCATTTTACACTTTGTAAAGAATACAGTAAGTAAGAAGCAAGTATTCATCCAAATATGTTTGATTGAAAAGAACAGAAAAGTTTTGTCTGCTTCATTTTTTATTGTATTTTTCTGTTTTTCAAAGGACACCACGAGGTAGACAAAGAATTCTGCTTACCACACAGACACCACTTCTTGAAAATGACTGAGACAGTCAACAATACTTGAACAAAACAAAAGAACGCATATAAACTTCAGAGTGTTCATCCACAATTTCAATACTAATATACAACACCTTATTCAAAAATTGGAACAACACAATAAAATATTAAACAGATATACATTATCAGCTGTATTTAATTAAACTTTTGAATGAAAGCTTGCTGCTTAAATATATATATATATATATATATCAAGAACAATATTAGGGAAAAATGTATGACAATGTGGAAGAGTTTTCTTGTTCCATACTTTAGGACTTCATCAGACTAAATTTGTTACGTTGGTGCGACTACATCTGCTAGATAGATGAAAACAAATAGATAAAAAAAAATGTTAAATTCCCAGCATCCCTCATTCATGCACATATGTAGTCACGCCAACAGAACAAATTTAGTCTGAAGTTCTAAAGCATGAAATGTGTCACAAAAATACTTTTTCCAGTTTGTCATATATTTTTGCAAATTATATATATATATATATAGAGAGAGAGAGAGAAAATTAATGGAATTATTTTTAATTTAATATCTTACTTTAAATGTTATTATAGTGGATACTCGTATTTGAAATAGACACCCCATTTTTATTTTTGCAAAGTAAAGAAACTGTAGGAAAATAAGCAGACTTACTTTGTGCATAGATATTTATTCTGTGTAAGTTAAACATTGAAAATCAAAGGTATTGACTAATATCTGGATTTGGATACCAATCAAAATTTTTTTCCCATATTCAGCAAAGTGCATTCAAATTACTATCTGAAAATTCTTGAGACAATTTATATTAAGTCTGAGCAGCCTTCCCTCCACAAGCAGAAGGAATGGCTGCTGAGCCTAAATGTAATCTCTCTGCTGATTCCCTGGTAGTAATATTTATCTCCCTTTTCTTTTAGTCATTGTGTACATACTTTTGTCATCAGTTAACTCTGAATAGTGCAGATAGATAATCAGTTGCTTTTTTTGTTATTTTTTTTTTTGTTCTATATTTTTGATTCATCACTTTTAGAGTGAGTAATTCTTTTTTATCCTTGCTCTTCCACCCCTTTGTTTTATATTGGTCTATATATTTATTTGCTGAATTTTGATCTGAAATTTTTGCAGTATAATGTTTGATAATCTGATTAATGTCCTCTGTTGAATGAAGTACATTATCTAAAAAGGGGATTACGTCAGAAAAAAAATAGGTATAGAAGAAATGCTTTTTTTTTTTTTTTTTTTTTTTCATCATTCAGCTGTAAAGTTGCTAATGCATCTGAATATAGAATTTTATAAGTAGTAAGCAAAATTTTATGATTTAAGCAGAATTTTTATAAAATTTAAGCAAAGTATTTACGTAAGTATAAAATAAAGGTGTAAGATTTAAGTAGCATATTTATAAAAGTCTAAAATAAAGCCAAATATTTATATAGCTCTTAAAAGCACAGGTGTGAAATTTAAGCAGATTACTTATGCAAGTATAAAATTTAAGCAGAATATTTATATAAGTATAACAAAGGTGTAAAATTTAAGCAGATTATTTACTAATGTATAAAGGTATAATATTTATATGGGTCTAAAATAAAGGTATAAAATTTAAGCATAATATTTATATAAGTATAAAACAAATGTGTAAGACTTAAGCAGAATATTTATTAAAGAATGAAAGCTATAAAATTTAAGCCGAATATTTATATAGGTCTAAAATAAAGGTGTGAAATTTAAGCAGAATATTTATGCAAGTAAAAGGTATTAAACTTAAGCATAAGATTTATATAGGTATAAAATAAAGGTATAAACTTTAAACAATAATTATACAGGTAACAAATTTAAGCAGAACAGTTAGGTGAAAAGATTGGAATGTAGAAGAAATGAGTTGTAAAGTGAATACATATATATTTCATTACGAGTGATGTGAGTAGAATTTTAAAAAAAGGAACCAAAATGATAACATGTATATTAATGATGAATAAAGGCTGAAAAGAAACCAAATTAGAGAATAATTTTTATGCACCTTTATGGTTTTTAACAGTAATCTTTATTTAATTTTCAATCTGGCATTTTTACGTTACTTTAAAGGAAAAACAAAACTGAAGGAATGTGAGGGTATAACAGAAAACACACGAATGAAATGGGAGGAATTTGTTTATGAATGATAGACAGTCGTTGTAGTGGAATAAGGCTGATAGAGAATATATCATATGTGGCCTTGGCATGCAGTGCTAGAATGAAAGAAAAATTGCAAATGTGTTCAACGAAAAAGCATCAGAGATGAAGGCCAAACATATGAATGTGTAGTGCAAGCAGAGGAAGTAAAGCAAGAATGAAATGAATGGAAAGAGACAAGAGAGTTTCTTGTTTGTGTGTTCAACCTCCTGTATTGCAATCCAGGCTCAGATTGAGCTGAATACTGCTCTAGTTTTGCAAACAGGAGAGAAGTTCTATGTGTCTGCATGTATGAGATGTCGTAGTTTTAATCAGTGGTTGGAAAAGGTCGATTGCAAAAACAACAAATTGAAGATCCCAAATCATGAATATAAGTCGACTTTATGAAATGAAATAAAAAAAAAATTAGGTTATAAAAAATTTGCCAATGACTATATGTAATAAGAAAAAACTAATAAGGCTAAACTAATAATGCAGACTTTTACTGGCAATAACAATGTTACTATGAAAATAATTATCGTCTCTATGCAAAGTTAAGTCCAATTAGTGTTAGTATTAAGAGAGAAGGGAGGTAAGCAGAACTGGAACTGTTTTTATAGTGTATATTAGCATAAATGAGAAATTTGTATTTTGTCTTTGAAAAGCAACAGGTAGGAAGTGTAGAAAGAAATTTTGGTTATTGACAAGCTTGGGAACAAAACTATAAAGATATAATAAATGGCTTTAAAAGATCATAATATTGGTTGCAATCAAATAAATATCTACATAATTTAATGCCTCATCAGTTTGTTATTTTAAAGCTTATCAACCTTTTTAGAAATATTTTTAGATTGTTAGAATTTTTTAGAGATAATCATTTACTGATACAAGTCCTACTAATTAACCCATAGCTGGGGAGAAGTTGTGGATTCATACCTTTCCTAAGGGTATTTGCACATAAGTACATATAACAAACCCAACTAGAATTGGAACTCACCAGTTTGATTTTCATTTCCCAGCCATTATCCATTACACTACCCACATATCCAAGCTTACAGCCATCTGGTATTCCCAAGTGGTCACCCTTCTAAGTACTGACCAGACTTGATGTTGCTCATCTTTGGTGATCATATGAGAACCAGTTTTTCAATGTGATATGGCCATAAGCCATGTGTTAGTTGTGCATTTTATATATATATATATATATATATATATATATATATATATATATATATATATATATATATATATGTATGATCAGTTACTCGGCTTAAATTTGTAAAGTTGAGGTATCAAAACAGAACTCTTATTAGGACAGTTACCATTAAAATATTTATAAAAAGTAAAGGCAACAATGTTACACTGTATGGAAAGTGATTAAAGCTGAGATGCCAGGTTAGGACCAATAACATAGGAAATTCTTCATTGGATCTTGTCAAGATTCTCTAAACACAGCAGAAGCTCCAGACTCATTCTCCTTATATATGAAAAAAAACCTGTTAAAACAAATGTTGAGATTATTTACATATGGACTGGTATTTTCATCTGGGATTGGAGTATCTGTGCATTCTGCCTACGACCAAATATCACTTATCAGGCTTCAACTTTGGCTCAGAGTGCAGTATCTGTGCAAACTGCCTAAGATCAGTGTGGTGTTCGTATGCTATGTGAAAAGTGTTACACACACACACACGCTAAAGAGAAGTCAGAAAAGTTCTCACCCTGACCAGAGAGAATGACCCCCAACCAAAAGATGTACTTATAATTCTGTGCATTTACCTTGAATTTCAACACACTTGGTATAACATTTCTCAAGTATCTTTAACCCTTTCCCCACAAAATTGTGTTATTTGGCCATGGAAATACTGATTTTTGAGAAGTGGATTGAGCCAAGAACGTTTTATTACCCTCTCCTGTGTATGTGTGCAGATATATTCAGATTTAATATAATAATAGTTCGTAGGGTGTATAATAATAATTAATAACATTCAATGACCATAGGTCTTATTTTGACACCCCCTACCAAATGTTAATAAAGACTGATCAGCCTTCTACCTAGATCATGTATTAAATGACTAAAAGCAAAATATTCTAAACTCTAAATGCAATCAAAAGGAAACTTGATGATCAGTCATTAAAAAATGTTTTCGGACCATCACACAAGAATATGAAAACAATAATTAATCAATAACTATTTATAATTTTAAGTTGTCATTCCAAGAGTTATTTTGACTACAAAACTCATTATTTTTATTAACTTTGTTGTTAGTTGATCCATTTCACAGACATACCTTTTACATATGTACAATCTTTTGGAAATGTGGTGTGTGACTTACAAACTTGAAGATGTGTGACACAACAACATGGCTTGCAAAAATAAAATTAATTTCATTACAAAAGTTTCTAAATTGAAAACTGACATTCCAAAATTGATAACATTTGAAAACACTGTGCATAATACTTAAAAATGCTGATAATCATTTGGTCAGTCAAAATTTTTAAAATTTTAACCAAATTTTGAGAAATATATATGGCACATGGTCAAGTAGTTAGAACGTTCACATTCTGACCATGAGACCCAGGTTCAAATTTCACCATGGTTGATTTGTCAGCAAGGAGACTTCCTGATGTTATCGGACTGTAGGGGTCGATCCCAGCGTCCGGCACCTTTGGAAAGTGCCTGAAAACCATACCACAGCTTGACCAAAGCATTGTGAGTGAAATTGGGTAGATGGAACCCTTGGGTGCTGTCAATAGCTGTGTTACCACAAAGTCACAAGTCATCATGGTTGAGGCTTGAGTGTGCTGGCCTTGTTCAAATTCTTGATCACACTAAAGAACACGCTCTTTCCCAGAAACTGTAACTAAGGTCTGCTCAACATAGTTGCAGTATAAACCACAGGTGGGCTCTGTGAGTGTTGAATAAACACGAATGTGCCTGAGCAAGTGTCTTCAATAGGGATTGGCTAGCCGCTCTAGTAGACAGGTATCCTCAAATATGAGTAGCCAGCTATATATATATATATGTGTGTGTGTGTGTGTGATAAATTTTAACCTATAGAAAAAGACTGATATTTATTAATGTATAAATTTAATGAATTCATTTCATTTTTGTCTTGAAAAAAGTCCACATTGAACTAAACGCTTTTGCTAATATTACAGTTTTCCTATTGTCTTTTACATTTATAAATATATATATGAGTACAATATATATTGATGTTTTATGTAAAACACACATAAACACACACAGATATGAATACATATACATATTTTTTTTACATATATAATACACACATATACATATATGTTGGACTCTCACGGCGTACTCAACATAGGATGGTCAAGCAGCTCAGTTCCTAGGAACTGACAGCCAGACACCAGCACATATGATTTGATTATAATGGTGAAGGCTTTGTGCAGAACCAACCACACTTTTTGAAGGGACGAATACAGAGACCTGATGCACTACATGCCACAAGGTCCCCAAACAACTCAACTGAATTCAGTTATCCTTCTCCTAGACTAGTTGCTATCCAAGGCTATAGAACCCAATCTATCAATAGCTGGGGAGAGAAGAACATCTATACCTTTCCCAAGAGAATTAGCATGTAAGCAAATGTAATATATTCAACAGGAATTCAATGACGAATGGCTATCCGATTCCTCAATCAAAGGAGATATGCATTACTCCACCATGCCTCCTCTATATACACACACACACACACACACATATAATGCATAATATAAGAATAAACATGCATCATACTTATTATAAAACCCAGGTTGTGTGTGTGTGTGTGTGTGTGTGTGTGTGTGTGTGTGTGTGTGTGTCTGTACGTTTAAATATTGGATCAGATTTCCTACATTTTTAAACTGATTTCAACAAAACTTCAAAGGACTACGTAAAATTACCATGCGGTGGTTATGACAGCGCCAAAAATTGCAACAAAACTTCACTTTTCTTTTGGCAGGTAGTGTTTCTTATTGTCTTGCACACTTTTTTCTTTATTTTTACATTCAGAATGCTTTAAAAATTCCATTTACAAGACAATTGTTTATGATAAAATTCTATTCAATCGGTAGACTCATAACGATTGAAAACCATATTTTTGTTTGAGTTTGGGTTTGACCAATTCATAAAAAACAAAAAAAACAAGATGTGTGTCCGTCAACCTTAAACAATAATCTTTGTCAATTTTATTTTTCAGTCTTTATGATGGTCGATACTTGATCTATCTCTTACTGTTACTTCCCCGGGCAACGCCAGGCACTACTGCTAGTTATATATATAATAATACATAATATAAAAATAAACATGCATTATATATGTATAATAGATAATATAAAAATAAACATGTATTATATATATATATAATACATAATATAGAATAAATATGCATTATATATATATATATATATATATATATGTGTGTGTGTGCTATTGATGTAGATAAAATTATATAATTTTAGGTATTCAAGGTGTGCAGAAGTTTGACAGTTCTTATCTGGAACCTGAGATGCATTATTACCATGAAAATTTTAGTTGGTTTAAGTAACTATCATGAAGTCTTATTAATTTTTTGGTAACATATATATATATATATATTGGCAAAACAATTTTGTTATATATACACTTACAATATATTCATATAAACATTTTTTTTTTTTTCAAGAAAGAGTTATACATACACATATATTCCCTCAATACACACACACCCACATATATATTGAAGCAATCATATAGTCATTTTTATATGTATAAATGTGTGTTTAACAGATACATATCTGTCTAAGTGTGTGCATACATTCTCATGTATATTCATATATATATATATATATATATATATATATATATATGCTGGAATTTCTTCAAATATTCTAATATGGATCTGAAGCTTGCAAAAAGGTGATCTTATGGAAATTATTTTTTTCAATTTTTTAAATTGACATTTCAAAATCTAATCCATTTTCATTTTTCAACCGAGAAGATCAATGCATATCTTGACTTCTTACTTGATGGATTTGCATTTTATTACTTGATTATTGAGTTGATTATTTTGAGATATTGCTGAAGAAGCAAATTCCAAAATTCCATTTCTAAATTGCATATCTTCATATCACCATCTTTATATGAGTTTTACTCTCACAGATACATACATACATACATATATACATACATACATACGTGTATATTTAGATAAACAGTGTAGACTTAGGAATCAACATTGCATCATGACTATGAGTTTCATGTCTCAATGGAATTCTCAGATCAAATTTAAAGAACACATTGAAGCATGAAACTCTCATATATATATATATATATATATATATATATGGGGGTGGAAACAAATATTCGTACGCATAGAAATTTTTAATCTATTCTATTTCAAATTAATGAATATACTTTTCCTATAATTCCTGTATACAGATGCATAATAATTAAATATGAATAAAAAACAGAAAAAATGATTTAATAGAAATAAATTCCATTTATCCATTTTAATGGGTGAAAAATGTATTCATACAATGCAAATGTCAGATTTTAAATTGCTTTAATACTCTAGATTATTCAAGTGGAATATTCTAGAATGTTTCAATAATGTTATCAGTAGTTATATTTAGCCTACAAACAGAAAATTTTGTAATTGATATTCGTGCAAGAAGGTTCTCATCATGGCAAGAGGTAAAGAATTGACAAATTTGCAAAAAGAACTGATTGTTAAGCTCTGGTAAGAAGGTAAAAGTTACAGGAAAATCTCAGACAAACTGAATATTCCATTAACTACCATTAATTCATTCATTGCAAGGTATAAAAACTCAAAACTGTTGAATATCAAAGAACAGGTGGTCTATGGAAAATTTTCTTCAAGATCTTCAAGGATAGTAATGCATCAAATTAAACAAAATCCAATGGTTATTCATCAAGAGTTGCAGGATGATTTACTTTCATCAGGAATCTGTGTCAGTAAACAGACACAGTAAGCAATGAAATTTATAGAAACAATCTAAAGTCATGCTCCTCTTGGAAAACTCCACTGTTATTGAAAAGGCACAAAGATGCCAGCTTTAAATTCATTCGTGAACATAAATATAAGGAAAAATCAATTTGAGAAAGAGTATTATGGACAGACAAAAGCAAAACTGAGTTGTTTGGATGTAATTCTAG